TGTTTTAAAAAAATCTCGATTATCAGTGAAGTAAAGAAAATCTTAAACATGGAAAATATTGAAGCCATTTGTTAAAGCCAACTTTTGAGTTTTAATTTTGAATTCAGTCCTTTCTGGTCGGGTTATCCTATTCACTTTTATTTTTGGAAACTTTTCTTTTAATCCTTCTTCCTTTTATGTGAAAAATACATCCGATTTCTTGCCAAGCGAACCAGACTGATCATTGCTCACAGTAATTCTTTTCTTACAAACATTCAGGGTGATTTATGGTCGTTTTCATTGGCTACTATTTTGTGACGTATACATTGCTAACTTCCTTTGTGAAAAGCTCTCTTCTCGCCTTCCTGTCACCAGAATTCCATCATCATAACGAACCTAAAAATTCTGGCGCCATTTTCATCAATGGAAAGAAAACCTCTTACGTTTGTAAGACATGTTGATTGAAAAGTTGGTACCGTTTAACTTTCAGGCCAAATCTCTCTTCAATAACTGCTTCATCTCTCTCTCACGCTCACACACAGATACACAAGCATTGAGTAACTAACGTAAAGAGACTGCTGACTCTTAAACTATCTTTTGATTATGTCTAACCGAACTGACAGCTAAGTGGATCATAGATGAAGAGACTGACTGATCAATTCAAATGAGTTGGCAAAGGGAGGTTGTCGTCATCTTAGCTGAAAGCATTAGTGAAGCAATGTAGAAGTTTTATTTACTCCGGTTTGTAATTAAACTATCAAGCAAGCGAATACGACTTACCGACAAGTAAGTGAACTCATTATCGGTGTTAAAAGATTTGGACGAACATTACTCAGTGAAAATCACAAAATATGAGGAACAAAGGCTTCGAAATGAATAGAGTGCCACAGTGACTATTAGTTGGAGTCACCAACCACAGTGTGGTGTTAATGCCTTCCGCCATATATGGTAACACTGTTCTATTTGCCTATTTTTCATTGAATTGGGCCTTGGTTACTATGTGACTTAAATAATCTCTGGAAATTGAGAAAAACATTTGGGATTTTTTCTACACGATGAAATGTCTTAGGTTCAAATTGTAGAATAACAATAGTAAGCAACACTTACCGGCGTAAGAGTCCCAGCTAGCGTCCAGCTGGCAGACAAAAATAAAGCAGGTTGTAACTTAATACAACCCCTGCAAACTAACTGAGAAATCAAGCTGGTATTTATATAGAAATACTTCCACTCAGGTACCAGCAGCCAATCACAGCCCAAGCAATGGACTATCCCACTTTAGCATAATGAGATGCTCCATTGCACCATAAATACCTCTCTTTCTCAATGTTGAATTAGTATTCACTCAGCTTGCTCCACAACTGAGTGTTTATCTACCACGTGATTGTTCGACACAAATTAATTTTTATTCGAACATATCTCCCTTTACATTTTTCGTTTCTCTCTCTCTCTCTCTCTATCTATATATATATATATATATATATATATACCTAGGTTTCGCCTAAACGGATCGTCAGGGTACAACAGGCCTAACTTGTAACCTGACGATCCATTTAGGTGAAAAAACGATAGACATAAGACTAATCTTATTAGTCTTATGTCTATCGTCTTTTCATATTGACTTGAATAGCGTCTAATTTTAATTCTGTTTTACTACCCATGTCCTGTAGAAGGTCTACTAGACCGAAACGTCTGACGTCAACATTGAAACAACATTAAAACAGCATACTTGCATATTCGGATTTTTGTTTTTCCATATTTTCTTCATAATGTCGGATCTATATCCACATATTTGCTTTCATATATATATATATATATATAAGTAACGAGAATCTTGGTAATCCGTATGGATAATCCAAAGGATGATGTCTCTCACACCATTACATATCACCCTCTAATTCAACTTATATAAAGCTTAATACTGCCCGTCAAAAGTGTAAATTTGAAATTCATTTTTTCGTTTCGTCTTTGAAAGTAAAGTCTGAGGATCCAGAGAAAAAGTAAAATTCTCTGGTGAAATAAATTATTACTATGGAGCCTTAAAACTGTCAGTTTTTCTTTTAAATTAATATATATATATATATATATATATATATTAACTGTCACGCCTGTTCCTTACAACACACTGGAGAAACTTGCAGAAATTTAAAGAAAAAACGTATCTATACACAAAAAAGACTCCTATACGCATAATTTCATCAGATGCATTAGTCATACATAGAAACAACAACTTCGACCGAACGAATGCTACAATTATTTTTTAAAAAAGTAACTTACTTCGACGAAAAATTCTTAAAAGTGGTGCTAGCGAATCTTTCCGGAATATAAATTTGCGCTCCGGATTTTTCAAATTATCCTTTCCTAAAGGAAATACTTCTTTTCCCAAGCTAACATACAGGACTATAAAAAAATTTTTTAAAGAATAGGATTAAATTGTTAATCTTTTATTATTTAAAATATATAATACATAAACTAATCCCAAACTAAAATAATTACATTAACTGCGTCCTCCATAATTTATCTTCACTTTTCAGCTAGTCTGAGATATATATATATATATATATATATATAATGGGCGGAATGTAAAATTCGCGACACCATAAATGTTTTAATTTATTCAAGAAACATTGAAAAATAATAAGCATTACAGTAACAGGAGTAGATAGGTTCACCTATCGTCCAGTTCACACTCCTCCCCCAGTCTTTTGAACAGGAATAGAGGTTTATCCCTTATTTCCTGTTAAAGATTGGGTTTCTGGTTCCTTCTAAAGTCTTCTCATTCTCTTTCACTTCCAGTAGCCCCTTGTAGTATAATACTACAAGGGGCTACTGGAAGTGAAAGAGGTGCTTGGGGTTGAATTGATTAAACAAATTATTCTGTATCTAAACCAATTCTTGCACACATTCCAATATAAATAACAGTGCGTGTTGTCGAAAAGCCACTATCTTTTTTGGTTTCGGTGAAGATGGTTCCATTATTATATATAGTTTATAGCTTTCTTGAAGACGTTTTCAGTAACCGATAGGATGATTTAATCGACCCTGCTAAACATAATGCACCATTACCAGAATATATAAACAATCGAGCCAAAACACAACACACTTAGCCTGAAGATTGCTTACAAGTATGAATCTGTCGCCGCTCTGTGTTGACCTCAGTTCCCACTTTATATTTATAGTAAAGGTAAAGATGCTAGGAAATTGACTGAAGCCGAGATGCCAAGTCAGGACCTATAACGCTGCAGATTATACTTTCGATTTTGGCAAGAATCACTAGAAATATAGCAGAAGTAACAGACCAGATGTGCAACCAATATTCAATGCACGGACAAATGGCAGCCTTATAAATATGCAAGATAAATTCTGACGAGAGAAATAATCTAGTGAACTGATTTTCCTAGTAACAGATCTAGCAAATTGATTCAATATAATCGTTCCATCTCATGTGAAACGTGAGACTGAGAAGATGCAATGAGTTGCTCTCTTGGAGGTCAGCATCAGCCATGCTGAAGGAAAGCAAAGAAGCTTCTCTAGGCTAATCAAAAGAGACCAGTTTTGTTTCGGTGGCGTTCAGATTAATAAGCCATTTCTTTTCTTAATTAACAAAAGATTGAAAGTTTTTTTCGAGATCAGCTACCAATTTTATTTTATTACACTATCAGACTTACTATTAACAATTATTAAATTGAAGGTCATTTTAGTGAACAGCGGTCAGTTTTACTTTATCAGTCTTTTCGGACTTCATATTAAGACAGGAGTAAATAGTTTTTGTTTTTTTTTTAAGTTATTTTTGTTATGTTTTTTTTTGTTTTTTATTTTTTGGTGTGTTTTTGTTTTTTTGCTTTTATTGGTGTGTTTTTGTTTTTTGTGTTGTTTTTTTTTAGTGTGTTTTTGTTTTTTGTGTGTTTCTTTGTTTTTTTGGGGGGTGCCGGGGGTGAGATGGGAGTTAAGCATTTCACCCCATGCAAGGCGGGAGTGTCACTAGCAGGCAAGGGCTTACAGAGAGTGGGAGCAAGAGTAAAGAGGCGTGATAGAGAAAAGGATGTAGAGAAGGACGGGGAATTAGATCAAGGCATCTGAAGATGTCTATTGACATTGCATTTGAATAATTGAAAATTATAGCTATCAAGGAAGCAAGAGGAAAGGAGTTCCAAAGGCGGGAAGCGCGAGACATGAATCTATTGGAGTAGAAGAGACGGCTACATTTCAATGTTTCGACAGTGAAAGGGTAGGACTGAGATGCCAACCTTGTAGCGCGCTTAGATTCATGCAGTTTGGGAACCAGCGAAAGTAGCTTGTCAAAGCAGTTACCATGAAAATATTTGTAGAAAAGACAGAGGGAAGCGACGGCACGTCTGTGAGAAAGTGACTGTCAGCGAGATATCAGATCAGGACCACACACATTACATATCCGTCTCTGAATTTTGTCGAGGACCTTAAGACGAACAGCGGGGGTCCAAACCATATATGGCAGCTGTATTACATGCAAGGGCGAACGGTTGATTTATAGATTTGAAGGATGGGCTCAGGCGAGAAAAACTTTCTGGCGCGGCACACAGAACCAACTTTCTAGAACTGATATCAGGAAAGTGTTATAAAATAAAATAAGACATATCTCGGCTGATTTACAGGCAAATACTCAAGAGCGAGAACCGGATGTAAACGGGACAAAGCCCCGTCACAAAATGACCATTATCTTTCTTTACAAATGTTCCCGACACACGTGTACCGGTCGAAAAATAAAATATTTAAAGTGCTCTATTTTTCGTCCAATAAAAATGCTTCCCTCCTAATTATACTCGCTTCGTTTTTCGAGCCTGTTAAGCCATAAAACAACGCTATAAAAGGGGTCACACGGAAGTTCAACTGGCAGTCCACAGGTGCCCAGGATAGAGACTTGTCACGTCCAGCTGCTGACAGCAGGGGAGCGTCAACCACCGTCAACATGTGTGAACTACTATGAGGGATCGACCTAGATCCGAAGCCGGCTTATGAACTTTACCACAAGGTAGCTGTCCCAAACCCACACGTTCCTGTAGAAATAAATCACGTAAATCTATTTCTGCTGTTGTCGTATTTCTTTCTTGCAACCATACGCTTGTCTATAACAAAAGTCATTGATGAACATAGGACACCCGCGTTAATGTAAAAACATCTAGAAGAGTGGCCTTTCAAGACAACTTTCATTACGCGACTTTATAAGAAAGATTGAACTTAGTCAACTAGAGACACCATAACTCTTCAACTTGTGAAGAATATCAGCATTGCAAAGCTTGTATAAACGCCTTCGAGATATGTAAATCAACAGCCCGAGATTCGCCATTCTAATCTAAATCTTGAACAGAATCTTTCAGCAATAACTATCAACACATATAGGCGGTTAACCTAGAGAATCGAAAGCCATATTGTTTGTCTGGAAGAATAGCTTGCGAGATGAGATTCTTATTAGAGGCTCCCATACATTGCCAACATGTGGTAGAAGGTTAATAGGTCGATAGTTCAAAGGATCAGACAGTTCTCCAGAGTTCTTTTAAAATGTTATTTGATATAATCTTTTAGATGGAACGTCCAACCTCTCTGGCCTCTGTTTTTACTGTACCCAACTGAAAACAGTAGCAAAATAATTGAAGCCTCGACTCTCAATTTTAAAAGAATTTATAAAAGAGTATAAAGGGAAATTTTGAAATATTTGAAGAATTTTGTTTTCCAAAGGCACAGATTTAGGCGAAAATAACCTTTCTAATTTGCTTCAACCATCTTTTCGAACAATGCTCACTCTGTTTTTTTATGGACAGGAAAGTCTTGAACAACCAAAGAAGCCAGTGTTCAATAAATATGATAAAGCCGCTAACCCATTAACAAACAATTACTCCTTTTTTTTTTTTTTTTTTTTTTTTTTTTCGATTATTTGCTTAGTTAGTCCTACTTTTACCAATCGGAAATCGGTCGGGACACTTCAGTCACCATCTTAGATTTCTCAGAATGGGAGAGGTAAAGTGTTAATTCGCTGTCGTCATCATCGTCTTCATCGTTAACGCTTATCAGCCGCCGGCAGTCGGCAGAAAGACAAGCAGCCATTAACACGATTAGACTTGCTTCAACGAAGTTTGATTCATTTCAACGACGCTAATTCGGACCGACGCGCCCCGAAGTTGGCTTTGTGTGCCGCCGGCTCCCATTGGTACAGATTTATCGACAACAAACAGATTTTTACACCAATGTTAAAATGAACGGCCAGGAGAAAGAGTTAGTCTTTCTAAAATTGGCAATGGCATTTTATTTATTTTGTTCTTATTAACATTCATACATCTCTCTCTCTCTCTCTCTCTCTTATATATAATTCTTCTCAGTCTGATATTCTTAATTTTCATTCTTCTTTCTTTTAGCCTTTCTTTTCTATAAATCGTTTCACACTTACGTTCATCATTTTTTTACTTCTTCCCTTCTCTTTCTTTAATTTTCTCTTTTGCCAATAACTTTTATATAATTCTTATCACTTAATTTTTAATACCCATCTCTTTCTCTCTCTCTCTCTTTCTCTATCGCTCTCTCTCTCTTTCTCTATCGCTCTCTCTCTCTCTCTCTTTCGCTCTCTCTCTCTCTCGCTTTCGCTCTCTCTCTCTCTCTTTCGCTCTCTCTCTCTCTCTAGCTTTCGCTCTCTCTCTCTCTCTAGCTTTCGCTCTCTCTTTCTCTTTCTCTCTTTCTCTCTCTTTCTCTCTCTTTCTCTCTTTCGCTCTTTCTCTTTCGCTCTTTCTCTTTCTTTCTCTCTTTTTCTCTCTCTCTCTTTTTCTCTCTCTTTCTCGCTCTCTCTTTTCGCTCTTTCTTTTTCTCTCTCTTTTTTTCGCTCTCTCTTTTTCTCTCTCTCTCTCTCTTTCTCTCTCTCTCTCTCTTTTTCTCTCTCTCTCTCTCTTTTTCTCTCTTTTTCTCTCTCTCTCTTTTTCTCTCTCTCTCTTTTTCTCTCTCTCTCTTTTTCTCTCTCTCTCTCTTTCTCTCCTGTCTCCTTCTTCTCTTTCTCTCTATTTCTTTCTTGTCTTCTTTCCTCTCTCTTCTCTTTCTTTCTTTTCTCTCTCTCAAGCTGTATTTCTATTATATAATTTTTAATTCTTCTGATTTTCTTGACGTTTTCCCTCCTTTTCTCCCTCCCACTCTACCTGTCTATTCTATTTGGGTGTGCAGGTGGTGTAATGAGAATAGCAATCACGCTTTATTTCATTCATTTAAGCGTGAATATCCATGAAAGAGGTAGGGATCTATCTTCTAGTCTGCCTGTTAGTTAAATAGTAGAACTTGTATCTGGAAAATCATTGCTATTCTGAAAAGATTTAAAGGAACTACGAAAATAAGTTTTACTTCTTTACCTGGGAAGTAATTACAAAAGGTACACACTATTTCGCACTTTTCTTTTACAGCGAAGAAGCTTTAACCGTGGTCCATTTGATTTTGTCTTCAAACGCATTGTGCATTTTTAAATTGCCAATCAAAGTCTCTTCCTATCTATCTATCTATCTATCTATCTATCTGTAGCGGTTCAGCTCAGACCAGATACCAGATTCATTCTCAGATTGCAGCTTCTACTAGTCAAACACTTATGGCTTAAAAATAACTCTTCGGCCAGATCGTTACCTACGAATTAATACCATGATAATTTGTCGCAGTAAGTTATCGGGTTGTAACCTATTGCTATAGACGAGCTAAGCCGGAATGAGGCGTAGGTGACGAGGAGTGAATATTCTAACGGGCTCCTTCACTTTCACGCCATTCTCTGTGGGCCCTTTTCGTCTCTCTCTCTCTCTCTCTGCTCTTTTTTGCGTGCAGTTTTCACTTTCTTATATAGAACGTTGTTCTGTGACTAGTCATCTTTATTTTTAAAAAAAAGTAATTTATTTTCATTCAGTGACTCCCTTTGTCCGAGCTGCTTGCCATGTATTTGTGAAGTCCACCGGAAAAACAAATGTCTGGATCCATTTTTTTTGACAGGTCAGCTGTTTCCCATTTAATAAAATATTTGCTGACGCTGATATCACCATATGCCAATCTATCTATATAGAGCCGGCCCGTACTACCCACCGAACTTCCTAACCCGAGGGGGCCTGTTTGGGTGGAAGCCTGTTTGAGTGTCCGTGTAGTGTTTTGTGACCTCCGCTATCTAATTAACATTTGCTTTTTTTTCTACCTACATTTACATACGTTACAGATTAAATTAAACACAACTGACTATAAATGGATGAAAAAGGTTCGCGGATTTTGTCGTCATTCTGGGATCTTTTCTTTCGTCCAAATCCGTGAATTTGTTTTGATCATGCTAAGTCTCGAAAAAACACTATATAAAATTCACTATCTTTTATGTATAATACTGAATGCGTTAAAATTATTCAACTCTTTATTATTATTATTGTTATTATTATAATTATACAACATTTTTTACAAACATTGTCACAAAACATTGTTGAATTATTTAAAATGTAATGATCAGTTAAGACATGTCTCTAATTTACATTTAGATACATTGTATTTATTTTCATTTTTTTTTTTTTTTAGTTGAATCACTCAACAATACTGCATGTGATCCATTATTGTACATAATTAGGTTACAATTTAAATATGTATTTTATGTGAACACCACCTTAAGAAAATTCAGATATACTATAGTGGGGACACGAGATCCTTGCACCGGCCCTTTATCTACCTATCTGTCTATCTTACCAAAGTTAAATCGGATTATAATCGGTCGTGTTCCTCGGTGAGACATGAGGCCGGCGTTGAAAAATTTTCCTACCAGAAAGGAAGTTTCTAGTCTACCATCTAAGTTATCAAAAAAACTCCTTTAAAAAAGCGATTAAAACACCTAAATATCTTCTTTTTTTTCTCTCTCTTAATGTTCACATAGAACATAGAACAAGTCACCGTTCATTCAGAATCAGATGATTTCCGGATAGATTTCATTTTCGAACATTGAAAGAACGCGAATCTTGATGTTAGAGACACGTTGCATTTGGTAGTTACCTCATTCCACACTCCTCATTTTTATGTTTGTTTTTTTTTATGTTTGTTTTTTTTTATGTTTGTTTTTTTTGTTTGTTTTTTTTTATGTTTGTTTTTTTATGTTTGTTTTTTTATACTTTTTTATGTTTGTTTTTTGGGGATTTTTTGTTTTTTTTTGTTTTGTTTTTTTGTTTTTTAAACGTTTCACCCCAAGCAAGGCGGAAAGCCACTAGCACGCAAGGGGTTACAGAGTTGGAGCAAGAGCAAATAGGAGTGATGGAGGAAAGGATTAAGAGATGGATAGGGAATAGATCAAAGCATCTGGAAACGTCGATTGACATTACATTTGAATAGCTGGAGATTATAGCTATCAGGAAAGGGGGAGGGAGTTCCACAGGCGAGAGGTGCGAGATATGAAGCTATTGGAGTAGAAGAGACAGCTATATTTAACAGTTTCGACAGTGAAAGGGTGAGAGCGAGATACCAGCCTAGTTGAGCGCTTGAATTCATGAAGTCTGACAACCAGCGAAAGCAACTCATCGGAGCAATTACCATTAAAGTATTTGTAAAAAAAAGACAGAGAGAGGCAACGGCACGTCTGTGAGAGAGCAACTGCAGACGAGATGCCAGGTCAGGACCAATTACATTGCATATCCGTCTTGGGATTTTATCAAGGACCTTGAGACAAACAGAAGGGGCTCCAGCAATATTCCAAGCAAGGGCGAATGATTGATTGGTAGATTTGAAGGATCGATTTCGGCAAGAAAAATTTCCTAGCTGCGCGGCACAGGGAGCCAACTTTCCTTGCGGTGGACGAAGCTTTTGACTCAATGTATTTGATCCATCTCAGGTCAGAAGTCAATATGAGACCTAGTAGTCGCAAAGAGAAGTTGAGCGTCAGACATTCTAATTGTGGGGGATGGTTCTCTGTGATAAGTAATAGAGATCAACTCCTTTTGACCAGGTAGAATAGGACAACATGGAGTTGGAATTGCACTAGGCAAAATTTGATGTTGTATAAGACAATATCTGTCGATATAGTTGTTCCTTAATGTAAAATTCGAGTGATATCAACCTATACTCCAATTGAAAAATTGTTAGGCCCAAGAAACAGAACTTCTAAAGGAGTTTTACTAACACTATTTACTATTATTTGGACTATTGTCCTAATCTTTGTCGCCATATTTATTACAAAGTTTCGGCCGTTGTACGCTCTGGTCTCTGGTGGTTGGAATGTCGAAGAACACACGGCGCAGTGGATAAAGGCGTTAGTTAGATCCAGTGACAGGACCCAGTGAGTGTGAGTTCAATACCCGGTTAAGGCAGTGGAGAACTTGGAGAGGGGAATTAACAGGAGATAACTGACAACTTACATCCATTAAAACATGGCACGTGGAACTAGAACAGTCTGCCCCAACGAGCGAAATAAATGGTTCAGTTCGACATTCCAACCACCTGAAGAAGGCCAGAGCGTACAACGGTCGAAAGGTTGTAATAAATATGGCGACAAAGATGAGGACAATAGTCCGAATAATGTAAATAGTGTACATAATACCTCATCTCAGAAATATAGACAGATACTGAGTTTTACTAAACTTTCTATAATAGAAAAATGAGAAAGTTGTGCATCGGTGGAGATTTTAATGCTATCTCTAGTAATTTTTAACGACACTGTCCCTTTGATGAGAAGAAGTCAATCTTTGAAACAAAAATCTCAAATGGCAATGGTAAACTCTTATTAAACCACAAACAACAATGGAGAGCTCATTAAATTATGAATATTCAAAAATATTCAATCCTAAAGACACAGAATGATTATCTCGTGAAAGATCACATGGATACAATAATCAAAAAGCTTATTGACTTCACTATCTTAGATTCTTGGTTTATACAATTTGTCGCTTATATTAGAGTACATAATCCCCACTTTGAATTAGGTCACAGACATCTGAGACCGAAAAAGACATGAAGAGTCAAAAAATAGTTGACTTCTGTTTACGCAAACCGCAAAACATTCCTAATGTCAGAAATGAAAAACCAAAATTGGTATTTTCTGCTAAAATAGAATCCAAAGTCCCTAAATCTTGATCCAAATAACATTGAAGAATCGCATAAAATAACTTCTTTAACTGAAGCACGAGAGACCATTTCAAAATATTCTCCTAGACAGAAGAAAATAATTCCGTTGGATGATAATCCTAAGTTGAAAACTGAAACAAATAAGATCTTCTTGAAATCTGAAACCAAATTAATGAAGTTAAACAGCATGGATTATGTGAAGAGATGTGAAGAAAAGCAAAAACTCACAATAACATAATACAATCATAAGTAACTCGGTAAAATGTCCTGGTCTTAAAAGACACTTTCGGTCAGAGATCAATTGTATTATAACTATATCAACTATAATTATATCGGTCCAGAGATAATGAATCTTTTCAAATCCCATAAGCAGTAAAAGGAGTAATGGATAGCGGTTCGAATTGAGGTACGTGAGTACATCGACCGTTCCAGTTGTAGTTGGAGCCCTCGGTTTGATTGGAAAATGTTCCAATAAACACATTGAAGGGATTCCTGGTCGCCCATGACTTAAAGAAATACAAAAAAAATTGTTTTCATAAATGCAACTCAGACCTTTCGAAGAGCTTTATCTATGTAAAATGAGTGTATTTTTTTTTTTAAATACTCAGTAGAAAATGTCATGATGCCATTTCTGACCTTAGGTTCTATCAATGGAACCTGGAAAGAAATAATAATAATAATAATAATAATAATAATGAAGCGAATACCATCTACATCAAACGAGTAAAACAGAAAGCAAACAACTTGGCCAAATAAAATTACAAAAAAAACCGTATGAGAACAAGGCATTGCATGGCAGTACATAAAAAGAACGAAAATGAAGCAAATGTGGACCAAAAGAAAAACTGAGAAGTATTGGGTTGGAGCCTGAGAGAGAAGGCCTAATTATTGCAGCTCAGGACCAAAACCTCGCAACCAGATCCTATCACTCTCACATAATCAAGGATGGAACAAAACCGAAATGCAGGATCTGTGGAAAATATGATGAAACTGTCGATAATATTATCTCAGGATGTTCGGAACTAGCAAAAAAAAATGAATATACCCACAGACTTAATAGGGTAACGACATATGTGCACTGGAAGATATGCATGAAGCACAAAATCGAAACTACTGAGAGATGTTATGACCACCAACCAGACACAGTTACCCAAAATAACGATGTAACTCTCCTCCGGGACATGTCAATTCAAACTGACAGGGAAATAAAAGCCTACAGACCTTATCATAAAAGAAATTCAAGAAGCGTATGCTTATTGACATAACAGTACAATCTGAGAGAAACACTCCTATGTAAATTATCGAGAAATTCTCCAAATACAAGGACCTGGAGATCGAGATTAACTGGATGTGGGGAATGAAGCCTGAGACTGTACCAATAATAATCTAGGCCACGTGAAAAAAGGAATTAATCGAAGCTTACTTACTATTTATATGACTTCGAGTGGAACGTCAACAGCATG